ATCCTCAGCCGAGTATCGCCTTTTCACAAAAAACTTGATCACAAAATCTGCTGGTGCCGGCGACCGATGGCAGTTGTGGAATCGCTGTCACCAGTAATATCTGATAGTAATAATAATAATAAGAAGAAGAATACACCAAACATGGCATGGGGGCTGACCTGCGTGCGAGAACAAGCCACACGCAAAAACAGAGACGTTTCCGCGATCGCGTCGATTTGGGTGCACTAAATGGCAAGTTAAACCCACCCTGTGTGTGTGAAAATGTGAGATAAGGGGGTAGAGGAAGGAGACAGCTACGTAGGGAGGGGGAGGGGGTAAGGGTAGGGGCCACCCTGTCTGAAAACATCTCAGCACAATTAAATGATGAGCATGATGATAGTGATGATAGCGGTGATGATGATGATGATGAAAATGATGAAATGCGGGATGTGGGAGAAATGCACATTCACGAGGCCGTAGTGCCGGTTTCCACGGCCGCATTCGACGACATAGGCTCCTCGCACCGGCTAAGAGCAGCGGCGGAAAAAATGATGGGTCGTTTTTCCCCTCCACCGCCTGAACACGAAGTTGACGAGGACGACGACGCGGACGCCGCAGTAACTGGTACAGGCGGCGAAGAAGCCGCCTCGACCTTCGTGGAAACCGGGAACATGCCATTCACGGGACTGGATTCTTGTTTGATGTGCGGAAAGGTGTCGCCCTCTTCGTCGTCGTCCTCCTCCTCAGCTTCGTTGTTGTTGTTGTGATGGCAACTGCCGGCGGGGGAGGCTTCAGTGGCGAAGACACAGAGGGTCTCGTTCTTCATGTCATCCTCTGCAGACTCGTCGTGGTGGATGGTTCCGCTGTTGTTGCTGTTGCTTCCTTGAGAGTGTGAGACGGGCGTGAAGGGAGGTCGATGGTGCTCAAGGAAGCTCAGGGTTGAGTGAGCCAGAGTAGGGCGTTGAAAATCGCCGTACGGGGAGAACTGGTTGTAGGAGGGCGCAGAGAATGCAGCGGAGTAGTCCTCGTTGCTGCCGCTGGTCGAGGCGGCGTAGTCAGACCCACTTGGCGCGGGGGGTGGGTGACTGTAAGCACCGGTGGGATTGGGAGAAAGAAAGGTGGAATTGGGAGTCTTTGGATTGGAAAGTGACTTGGGAAGCTGGTCAGACCACTGATCTTTCACCCTTCCTGCTGCACCGCACAAGCCACTGGGTGCTGGCGTGGAAGCTTGTGGGTGCGAAGACGGCGCCTGTGGATTTCCACCGCCTGCCGCCGCCGCCGACGGAGAAGAGGGCTCAGACTGCAGTTTGCCCGATTGCAAAGCCTCGTCGTACTCGGCGTCCGTGAGGAAGCGGACGCACTTCTTCTTTCGTCTAGAATCGCAAGGATAAAAAGGCGTCAGTCCGCACACTTCAATGGAACCGGTGGCGGCAAGTTTGAATAACCTACCTGCATGGTTTGCACCAACGCGTCTGTTGCTCCAGTCCGAAACGCGCTCTACACTTCTTGGGGTTGCCAAGGTCGACAGCGGCTGCCAACGCGGAGGAGGTGTTGAGGGAGCCCATGCCATTGCCTCCGGCACCAGCGAAGTAGCCGTCAGCGTCGAAGAGGTCGCGTCGGTTGCCACCGCCACAGGAACCTTCTCCGGCCCCACCGCCACCCCCTCCGCCAGCGGCGGCGGCGGCGTTTATCACAGAGGCAGCAGCTACCGCAGCGGCGAGTTTGCGTTTGCGTTTCCGCTTCGAGTGGATTGCATAGTTGTCGCGAGCCGACCAGCCAGGGAACAGCTAACAAAGACAGAGACGGACCCATGAAGTGGAAAGCGGAGAAGATAAAGAATTTCCCCCAAAAACCTTCCCAAGACTTGCCTGACGATGGATTTCCTTCTCCTTCCGCGCCAGTTCATAGTACTTGGATTGTTCGGGCTTGGAAAGCTCGTGCCACTTCTTGCCCAAAATCTGATTAATCGCAGCCGACTCCTTCAGAGTGCACTCCTCCTGAATCTTCGGTCGCATCTCCTTCATGAAGAGCATGAAAGCGTTGAGGGGTTTCTTAATATGCACCCGTTTTGTGGGCACACCAGTTCCACTGTTCTCCGTGGTGATCTCCCGCCGGTACTGGGCAAGTGTGGCGGCGTTAATTGTCAAGCCAGGCGACGACGAAGAGGCCGCAGTGCTAGCTGTGCGGGGTGATCCAGTGCGTGGAGATCCCGTGCAGCCTGGCGAACACTGATCAAGGGAGGACGATGCTGCTGCTGACAGCGGAGAGCCCCCACTTCCGCCCGAGTTTATTCGCATGATCTTCCACGACGGAGAATGCTTTCCTCCACCACCTCCGGAGCCGCCGCCACCACCACCCGTTGAACTCGCAGATCGATTGTTGCATCTGAAATTTGCCGAGGAGGAAATGTACCCGCTGCCACCATGGCAACCAGTCAACTTGATAATCAAAGCTGTTTACACACTAGTTAATTACTAAACGCCGATGCAAACCGGTGTGGCGACCACCAAGCGTGCACAGTTAGCAAGCGCGAGCGAACACAAATCAATCGATTTTTTTTCGTGAATGCACTCTGGTGGACAGACGGCCACCGCGCGCGTGAGTGCTGCGTGTATGCTTGCCTGACTGTATCAATGACTCACCTCCTTTCTTATTGGCTCTTGTTAACAGTTGCCTGTACCGAACGCGTATCGATATGCACACAAAAAGTTTACTCGATTTTACGTGATTTAATTTGTCTGTCGTGACGCGAATAAACGGTCGTGTTCTTTTTCGACTTTGCCTTCTCTTTTCTCGAGTTATGACCAGCTGTTATCTATAGGGCTTTGCGTTGGACATCGAAAGATGTGAAGTATGGTGATCGTGTTTGGGGTAGTTGTTGGAGCATCGGGTTTACGGTGATGTCATTTATTTGACAAAACAGCGGACGCAACGAAATCCACATGGGGTAAACGTGCAGTGGGTGGATTGGTTACACCGACCACACGAGAACTCATTGAGCGCCAAAACGCCAGAAAAGAAAGCGCTATTTGCTTATTTGACAAAGATTGGATTTGGATACGAGCAGTGCCTCGGGCCGTATCCTAATGGCCACGGTGTCTCTCTAATCGCAGTGACGCGAAGTTGACAGACGACTGACTAGGCAATCAGATGGACGGGAGCATAGTTTATTGATTCAATGTCGGACCGCTAAATCGATGGTTGTGTAGCGACCAGCAAGCAAGCACAGTTAGCAGTCGTGAGCGAACACAAATCAATCGATTTTTTTTTCGTGAATGCACTCTGATGGACAGACGGCCACCGCGCGCGTGAATGCTGCGTGTACGCTTGCCCGACTGCATCAATGACTCACCCTCTTTGTTATTGGTTTTTGTTAGCAATCGCCTGTTGCGCACGCGTATCGATACGCACACAGAAGTTAGTTACTCGATTTTACTCGACTTGATTTGTCTGTCTAGACGCGAATAAACGGTCGCGTTCTCTGTCGACTCTTTTGTCTTCTCTCTTCTAAGGTTGTGACCGGTTGTTACCTACAGAGTTTTGCGGTAGTGTTAAGCTTAGGCCCCTACACCGGCTTTCTAAAAACTGAATCTGAAAGGTCAGAGGTAGCGACATTCAAGCCTGGCATTTTCATGGTGTCAAAAACAAACTCCTACTAGATTCCCCGAGGTGTGTGTGTGTAAAAGACGCATGCCTTCAATTTACACGAGAAAATACCTTTTCGTGGAGTCGCAGGATCTCCCAGACTCACTGAGATATCGCTGATGACGTCCGTCTGCTGCGAAACCTGGAAGGGTCCTGTCACTGTCCTTCGAGGTTTGTGAGGCTGGCTGAAGTTGGGTGTAGGTGAGGGGTGAATTGGCGGCCTGGCCGTCCGCCGTGAGCATCGACGACCCAAACTGTAGCCCGGATTTTGATTGGCTAAGGAAAGAGCGCGGCATTTAAACACTCTTCTTACAACCAATCAGAAATTACGAAAACCCCAAAAAGTCGATTATTGCGTTTTCTGGACAGGTCTAAATGTCTACCATGGAAAACTTAAAAGCTTTCGATTATCGATCGCCCCCCGATCGTGTTGTGCTTTTTTTAGACATTTTCAGAAATACTACTAATTACCAGTAAGCGGCAGCGGCGACAGCAGCGGCGGCAGGAGACGCGGGGGACAACGCGAGAAGCGAAAGCGCAGTGGCATGGGGACTGCCAGCGTCCATCTTCTCGCCACTTCCATTGGTTGCCACGGAGAGGGAGTGGTGGAACGCGCCTCCCACGAACGGCGAGACGGCCGAGGGCGAAGCCGTCGGCGCCTGTGGTGGTGGTGGCGGTGGAAGGGGCGAACTGGCGGAAGATGACGAGGCCGCGGACGAAGCTGCCGCTGCCGCAGTCAGGCTTGAGAGGAAATGCACCGCTGCTGCCTGTCGATTGTGCGGCGGGACGTGGTTAAAGAGACTGCAATAAAACAAACACTCTACTTACAAAACATAGTAGCTGTAGTATTTCAATTGATTATCTGCGTAACCAAGATCCCTAGTTGACAGGCAAACACGGTATTTGGCTCACTTTGGTGTGAAGGATGGCGAGGTGGCAGCTGCCACAGCGGCCAGAGGACTGGACAGCCAGGCTGCCGCGGTCGCAGCGGAATGTTGCTGGCTGGTGGAGGAGGAGGAGGAGGAGGAGGCGGCAGAGGCCGGCGTGGAGGGCGACGACACGGACGCGGACTGCTGAGGCGGCGCTGGATGGGGAGGAGGCGGCGGCGGCGACGATAACATCGACCCGGGCGCTCCAAGAGTCTCAGGCGGGGAGCGCGTGGGGTAAAAGCAACTCCCTAGCATCGCCGCCGCCGCGGCCGCCGCAGCCGCGAAATGGCGTCCCGCAACAGACGATGCTGGACCCCCCACAGCACCCGCTGCCGGCGATGAGTACGGCGACGTTGAAGAAACGCCAAAATGACTCGGCATTGACTGGCCGTAGGCGGAAATCCCGTAGAAACCAGCTACAGTAAGAGGGATAGGGGAGGTGGGAGTTGATCTTCTACCCAACCAACCAACCAACCAAAAAACTCGTCTCGTGTAAGTTAAGCCAATGGGAGCACTTTCAGGTGCTCGTTTGTGCTCAAACACTAACGTCTTGTGATAAATCGACTTGAAGTCGCAGCGGAGAAGTTATTGGCTGCCGAGACACGTTCTAGACAGCCAGACAGACATTCTCCATAAGAAGCACCAGGAGTCGATCGAGTCCAGAGCAAGGATATACTACTTATATCCAGTATAAGCCATGTTTATTTGAATAGCAAGAATCGAAAAGGCCCAACTGACCAAAATTGAAAGCCCAAAAACGTGAAAATCGTGTACCACCAGCCTTATTTTTTTTTAATTATTGGCTCTAGATAGGCACTAACTAGGCCTCCCAAGTGTTGACTTCGACAGGTGAGCAAATTAAATGAGCCAATTTTGTAATTTATGCTAACCAGATTCACTTGCAAGACGATAAAAAGCTAGTGCGTGTGTGTGTGTGCGTGTGTGCGCGCACAAACATTGAAATTCGACGCGTTCACACAAGGTGTCTACTCGAGTGCGCCTACTTAACCCACGTAATAAGTGCTAGACAACGCGGCAACCAGACACGCGCGTTGGAGGTGGGCTCGATTCTCACTCCTTGAGCATTTGTCATGTCGTGTTCAACCTCCTGCATAGTCTACTGATAAGCTTAATAAGTAGTAAGGCACGACGCGGTCAAGTTGCTTCAGCTGTTGGAACCAAAAAATGCCGAGTTCCGACGACATGTCTGATGTCGATCCAATAGCAGCAAACCAAAAACTCTCATTTATTCAACGACCAGAAGTGCTCTGGGATTTATGTCCAATAGAATTGGCGACAAACGCTGAGCAGTGTTTTCTAAGTGTACATTGACGCCAGTTTGTAACACTGCGACAAGATTGTCACGCCAAGTACATTCGCCTGTACCTGGAGGTAATTGGGTCTGTCTGTGCTTGTGCCACGCAAAAAAAAAGATTTACTTTTGTCCGAAAACGGTGTCTGGGAACACAGAATCTCGAAATTACTGCTGGATAGTGCCGCTTTGCCGACACAGCCCCGGTAGGTGGTTGGTTGGATGGAAAACAGCGGTCGGAAAGCCGTCTACCCACGTAGCTGCCCTATTGCCCTAAATACCAGGCAAAAATAGCTGATGTTTGGCCAGGTTTCGCACCAACATGAAAAATTATTCGCGCTCCTAGTGCGGACTCGCAGTCAGTGGCGATTGATGATGGTGGTGATGATGATGATGAGGATAACAAGTCAAAAGGGGTAAACTTATTCTCCAGGCTCCAGTAAATCAATCAGCCTGGCGTGGGACTCGAACTAACGACTGGTTAGGCAACTGATTAACGCATTGTAAGTGGACTGGAACACTGGCCATTTACATGGCACTGATAAGCACAGCCACCCGAGTTATTTACGTTCACATGGAGCGCACAAAATCGCAAATACCTAGCTCAACTCGCATTAATGGTGTTCCCATGCATGGTTGCAGTGAAGTTATGCTCCGTAAACAAGTGTTATGCAATGCTCGTGCTGGATGCTGAAACAGCTGTTCCAACACCGCACGTGGGTAGCATGCCTGCCTCCCAGAGACGCTGTTTTGCGCGCAAAAACGAACCCGCCTTTAGTTAGTAAACACGCACACGGGCCCAAAATGTCAGCAGTGACAACGAACTGCACAGTTAACGGCTCTAAAAATGGGGAAAACAAGATGTACTGACCGCGGCACCCAGTCTTGACAACGGCCTTGAAATGTACAAAGGAATCGTCTGAAGAATCCGCCTAATTTGATGGCGACCACGCAATCCCGAGCAGTCCCTTCACTGCTCACGACATCTTCACAAACCACCGCCGGCTAAAACCTACAAGTGAGGCCGCGTTCAGACATTCCGACAGCTCATGTCGCAGTGTTGTTGTTGATGATGACTTCGCGTGCACGTCCTCGTCTTCTCAGAGGCAGACAGCCCCGCTAAATTCGTCAGGGCGCCATGGAAACGAAACAGATAAACAATCGCTACTATTGGGAGGAATCAGTGTTCAGACAAAAGACCATGATTTCTACGTAGTCCAAGGCGATTGGTCGTCGTTAGGCCCTCCAAGGTCACGCGAGACGACAGATTACAACGACCAAACTACTCAACACAAAACAAGGAGTGAAAGCCAACGTTAAATGGAACCACCGACGCCTAAAACATCAATGTGGCGGTGAAAAAGACGGACACGCATCGTACGAGGTAGCTAATTTTTGCGTTAATTTGATTGGAGGCAATCTTGCCTGCTCTATACCATTTGCACTTGTGTACTAAAATATATATTTGGCGGTTCACACGCCACACACACCTTCGTGTCTAATTAAACACAAGGCGCACAGCTGTTTGGTCCCCGCGATTGGTCTGCGCCAGGGGACCATCGGTATTCACGAATGCTTAGTGTTTAGTCAGGTCTTGAGATTACTAAGGCAATTAAAAGCTGCGTTTTGGCTGCTCAGAACAACAAACCGGAGCACGACCAATCAGGAGTGAGGTAAGGCGGCCGCGCTCAACTACCAATCAGGTGGACGATGCGCCAATCGATTAACGCCCCCAGCGTCAAACTTCCCACTAATGTGTTGGGATGCGAAGTGCACGTCTAAAGTATAAAGGGACGCTGAAATGAATTAAGTGGGATTACACCAACCAAATACCAAGTTACAGCTTCAAATCTGCAAAGAATTTTTCGGTTCTTGCCAGGCATCCGTCACACCACCATCTCACACTAGTTAGCGCGTTCTTGTGTCGTGCATTAGCGACAATATTGAGTGATGAAACACGCAGGGTAACGAGAGGGCACCACTCAAATTAAATTTTGACTGTGGGAAACGCGTGAGAGTGTTTAACACGTAAGGCAGAGCGCGTGGTTCGCTTAATAAGGTTTTTTTCTTCCACACGAAAGGTGTTTGGCAACTCCAAAAACCAGTGATCACCTTCATCGGCAGTGGTGTGGCAAGAATCGCTGGGGTAATGGGTGACATTCATCATAATTGCCCTCAAGAGGAGCCAATCAGTGACGTGGTATTTATGCAGTCAAACAAAAATCAAGGTCAAGCCCCACCCGAGAGTATTTTTTGGTGTCGGATTTGACATAGACACGTGATTTAACACGATGCTGGACCACATAACCACACCTAAACGCTTGCTTTTCCATTTAGGTGGCAGTAGGCGGTCATACCTCATGCTACTTATAAACCTATGAGTAGAGGACAAGCTGGAATTTGTGTGACATTATTTGATGCGTTGCATGGCTTGTTCTGACGGACGTTTAAAAAAATGGACCTGAACATTTGACTCCCCAAGAAAACAGGGAATTTAAATGACCTGGAAGTCTTACCAACCAATCAGATTAGACATTGTCACCAAGCAACCAATCATTTTGCTCAAGTGTGCTGGAGCTACCGTTTTTAAGGAATTTGTTACCTACAAGCAACCACCACGTGTGTAGGCGAATCAGAAAAAGACGCTAAACTTGTACCGAAGGAGGGAGAAAAGAAGGCATAAGCGGACATGCGCACACTCCCGTGACGCTGTCGCTGGCCTGCGGCGTCAACCATTTTTGAATTGTCAGTGCACAGATTCAAATCGGCCGCACATCACTGATTGGTCGCCGTCATTTGAATGTAGCGCGTTCTTCGTTATTGGGTGGCCATTTTTATAAAAAATGTTGGGCTGGTAATAAATTTACACTAACTTGATGGCGCCGTCAGTGTTTATCAAACACGCATGCCAGCAGTACGAACACTCGCGATGGAATGACCAAACCGAAAAAAAAATTGTTTTTTGCGCCGTCAGTACATCAAGTGTGCTTCGGCGTTTGAAGAATGCCCGAGTTCGACTCCCGCCTGCAGGTGCGTGTTAGGCTCAGGGCAGAGGTCAGGTAACTTCGGGACTCATTAGTGAAAATGTCATGAGACGCCAAATGCCATGAGAAAAGTTGGGAGGGTAAGTGATTGAACGAGGCATTTAGCTTCACCTTTAAATTAGGCTTCTGCATATCCGTCTGCGTGCGTGAGTGCGTGGGTGCGCGCTTCTTTCAAGATGCACGCACGTGGTCGCCCCGACGGCTGTCTTGCAAAGGTTGCGCAAGGCAGGCCTTCGAAAGGCACAGAAGACGGTGCGAATGCTCCCGTGGAAGCGAAAGACACACCGCGAAGACGCAGCAAACAACCTTCAAACCACGCCCAAGGACCAACAGTCCCTCGTTGAAATCGTTGGTACACGGCCGGCGTCTACGATACGGCAGCTAACTATCACTGTCGGAATGAATTGTTTCTGCAATCTCGCCCTCATGGCCTGTGCTGGATGTCAAATAGTCGTATAATTATCCCTTTTACGATACATCCTGTTTACGCGAATCAAACGGAACTGCCTGTGCATTCAAAGCACACTTGCTAGATGTGCAACCTTATCGCCAAGGTCAGTAGAGCAATAAACTTTCTGGTTGATAAAATTTCCATCTTAAATTTGTCACCGATTTGACGCTAGTCAAACATGCTATCATTGAGCAACATTTGCTAAGCCAATTAAAGCTTGATATTAATAAACCAATCCCAGCTTGGTGTGTGAATAACCTAACAACCAAAGCTTTTGGTGCGGATGCTTGGGAAGTATGCAGTTGGTTATGAAGCAAAATTACTGATTTGAAGTTTCACAAAGTGGAATAAGTCCTTCAAATTTATTTCTTTACCTCACAACACCCAAATGTTGGTGGGCTTTTGAGGTGGCGATTTTTCACACAAAACCAAATTAGTCGGTAACTTGTTGATTCTATTGGCTAATTCACATTTTTTGAATTAAGATCAATCGACCTTCGACGCTTGAGCGCCACTCACGTCAGTACACATTAAAGTGGTTTGAGAGTTTATGCGTCTTGATGTTCAATTCTGATATTCTGATATTCATCCATATTGTTTCATTGGCATTGAGAAACCTATTCGCATCAGTAACTTTGAAAGTGGCGCAATTAGACTTGCCATTGGCAACGGAGTTCTATTGGTTAAGGGGACTCCTGTCCGAGCTTGCTGGCCCATTTCACCAACAGAGGTTGCGTCTCAGAGCCTAAGTGTGGACACGTACGCATGTTTGTGTGTGTGTGTGTGTGTGTACTTTAGGGAAATCGGAAGTTTGTTGTAAACTCATCCATGCTTGCACACATACACACACAGACAAAAAACGAAAGAGTAAAAGAAGACCAATCTCGCGTTCTTGTTCCTACACACCACACCACACAAAATACAAAAAATGGAGTAGGGCAGGCCGGCGAAGTGCCGATTTTCACAACCCTAGTTTTTTCGTCTGCTGTTCTGCCGGAAGCAGAGGAGGAGGGTGGGGGGAAGGAAGCGCCGGGGAGGTGGGAACGTGGCAGCGCTTCCTATTTTCACGTTAAGGAAAAAAAGGAAGCTAAGCAAACTCCAGATAAATCACATTATTTTGCAGGTTTGATGAGCAGCAAAGCAATTGGTTGAACTGAGCCCTGACGAGGCTAACACGGCCATTAGTGGTTGGTTGGGAAGCGTCCATGAGCAGCGTGAATTCCTCCCACACATCGTGTATGCACACTTTGAGGGTGCCTTGAGAATAAACATCTCTTCCATCAAATGGTTCCTGGAATCAAAATCTCCTGACTTTTCTCATCCGGAAAAGCTTCTTGTTCCTTGGGCTGTCGTCCTTGGAAGAGACCACAAGCTCCGTGCGGTGAAAATGACGCCAATGTGAAAGTTTTTGAAAGATCACACCAACATTCAGACGTGGAAGTTCTATTGTCCTCACAATTAAACACACCAGCTACCGTTGCTGTTTGCAAGGAAAATCCACATGGGAATCTCGAACAAGATGGTTTCCATGTAGATAATCCCACGTCTGAATCTACCCCACTTAACAGCTGGCCTCATGGAACAATTTAGCGGCTACGCTGAATTTTTAAATCGGTTTTGCCAGCGCTAATGATGTTCCAAGTTGGACAATTGCGTAGGGGTCAGGTAAGGGTCAAATCGATTCCTCAAATCAAATGTTTTGTGACCGAATGGCGAAATTCCTCATCAGGGCACATAAACGTGTCAAAAGGGCGTGTTAAAGGTTGCCTGAAAAACACTAGCCACTAAGAATCGATCGATAAAAACATGGCGCGGCCAAGTCCAATCGGGAATCGCTTGGTGTAAGAGCCAAGATGCGAGAGATGCAATCGCACCAAAAAAATCACACAAAACGCCCCGTGATCTAAGTGAGCACATTTCACACCGCAAGTGGCGATGTACTGGGAATATGAACGCCCCGCTAATTAACGACAAACACATAGCGTAGCAGGTACAACCAATCACAAGAGAGAGCTTAAGTGAGGCCTGGAATTGGGTTTTAACGCAGTAACCCTTAGTAGTGCCCAACCGATGGTTTGTTTAGTGCTAGATTTCAGAAAAAGTAAGTGGAGCGGTGTGTATTTGGGGGGAGGGAGGGAGGGGGGATTGCATGAAACCAGCATCTGTTTCATTAGTTCTGTCAAAAAAGAGGTAAGGTCGCTCGGAGAGAGCTTTACAGGGCGCAAAAAGGCACAGTGCGATGTCTCGCTCTCTCTCTCTCTTCATTCACAAAAGTCAAACGCGCACAAAAAGAGGCATTTTGGAGGCTGCCCTAGCATGAGAGAGAGAGAGCTAGAGAAACGCACGGATGGTGCTCAAGACGGCGATAGAAGGAGGCGACTGGCGAGAAAAAGACGTCGGTTTACGCTTATCTCTCCAGCGTGTGTGTGTGTGTGACTTTTTCTGCGATCTCGCGCGCACACAAACAAGCCTGCCTTACCGACAAGAATCGGGCGGTGGGGGGTGGAGAGGGGGTCGGGGAGGGAGTGGGGCTCACCCCATCCCCCACGCATCCCAGAATCCACGGTGAAGCCGATTTCGACACGTGGCGTGAACGACCTCCCGATTGAGAGTTAATCGAGACCCAACCAATCACCCACCGAAATCACCTCAGCAACCAATCAATACGGTACTTCGTCAATTAATTGATAATATATGGAGCTCATGGTATGATGCATAAAGTAAGTGTTATCACCGTTGAATATGAGATTGAGAGAGAGAGGCAATAGAAGGATGCAAAAATACGATAAGACGAAGAAGGAGAGGTGGAGTAGAGCAGAGGAGAGCAAACCATAAAGAGGTGAGTAAAGCCGAGAACCAAAGTGTGATAACACAGGGCACTCACTTGCTGCGTTGAAGAGATCGGAATGGAGGGCGGAGGTGGAGGAGGGAGACGAGGCCTCAGCGCCACCGCCTGATGCAGCCGTCGTCGAGGACGCATTAGAAGTCCCTGACGTGGAAGTCGTTGACGCGGCTGAGTTGGACGAGGGTCTCTGTTGAAGGAGGCGCTGCTGCTGCTGCTGTTGTTGAAGGGCAGCCAAATCGTAGAAGTTGGAGGGAGGCGGAGGTGGCATGAAACCCCCGAAGGAACCGATCATCCCAGGAGACAAGAGTCCTCCGTACATCCGACTCGCAGTCTTCTCCATCTGTCAGAGCGAGATAGAATGCGTTATCAAACGATACACTCAAAATTTATCCATACTTCAGCTAGGGTAGGATTTTGCATCGTAACTTGGAGTAGGAAATCTGGTGTTCTTCCAGCTGAGGCACTCTACCATCAGCCTCCTAAGAAGAAAAATTCTAGTTTGTCGAGTTGGAGAGGTCATCCACTGCTAATCGGAGACCAAAATCTAAATCGATGTGGTTTCAAGTTGATGTTTACACAGGTAAAAGGCCAGACAATTTACGGAGTGATTACGCAGAATGGGGCCAAATATTACGAGACGGAGAGTTGGTAGAAGTCGACCAACCAAACGTGAAAGAAAACGCCCACAAACGTCATACATGGCTGATGCAGAAGCATAGCAGCAATGTCACAGCAACAATTTGCGGTAGATACGTGGTAGAGTAGCTTGGAATGTGGCCGTCCCAAAGTAGACGACCAACTTCCAGTTGAGTCGAGAGAGAATTTGAGCTCATCTCAGCCGAACGTCGAGGACAGCAGACAATTAATAGCCGGATTATCAGGTCACCAGGTTCGTATTGATGTTGATAATGATCGCTTCGTGGAATGTAGCCTGTTTCAAGATCACCTTGAATCACTCCGAGGACACATCATGGATCCAACTCTGTGTGTTGCATCACACACATTCCAATCAGGTGTGCAGTCAAGTTGGCTGGGCGAATAGCACACGAATTCGCGTGTTTCCTTTTTAATCCATCTTTTCTCACAACTTCCGGTTCCAGGGCATAAAGGGGGCCACCACGCCCCAAAAAAAACTTTTAACTGGCACGCCTTTTGAGGAGTTTTCAGCAAGTAATGTATACTTTCTTGTGCACAAAACCTAGGAACCTTAAAATGCCTTCGTGTTAAAAGTAATGCGGGGTTGAGGTGAGTCGCATTTTGATTGGTCAGTCTAAAAACAAAATGGCCACCTCATGAGCATCGATTTTGCTTACGTACGCGAAAAGGGGCATTTGTATTTTGTCTCTTAATAATCCACATGAAATACACACTGAAGTTTGATAAGAGGAGGGGAGTGGAGAACGGGCCTTAGCGACAAAGCGTCATTATGCGAACAAAAAACACGCAGACATACAGGCTGTTCTAGCTTGGCGGCAGAACAGACGCGTATTTATGGGGTGTATAGGACGAGCTAGGAAGGGTTAGGACGGCCACTAGAAAGCGATTATGGCGGTGAGGGGTGTGAGGGGGGGGTTGGATTGAGTTAACCCCGACTGTCCTCAGTGTCTAGCACCGCGTCGAGAAAAAACGCGGCTCCGGAGGTGTGGAACATCTAAACGCAAAATTGGTGAGGTACCTTGATCAGCGCCGATGCGCAGAGGGCTTCAATTGTCGTCTCTGTGAGCCTGCTTGATCGTGTTTTACAAGATCGCAAACAAACCGTCCAATTTGTGCCCACACACACCCACGCAGCGCCAGGGATCTGACCACTAAGAATTCGTTCTCCTTCTCACGCGCTTGCGGCAACGGCGGCCGCGGCGGCGACGGTAGTGGCAGTGGCGTACTCTCGTTCATTCCTTTCTTCTGAGACTAAATAAAAGCCAAGCAGACGCGGATTACACCCTCCTTGGGAATCTGTGACTCTGAATGAACGGAGGTGACCACGAGTGTTCTGGCAGTTCTTGGAGCTCGTAATTTCAACCAGTGTGTGAACTGGCGGTTTGTGTGGCACTCAAGTTTAGAGGTTACGGCGCTCTACATTCCAGGATGGAGTAGGGTGTGATGAGGAAAAAAGGACGCTTGTACGAGGTCAGAGCACGTGAACGGCCAGAGACTCGCCAGGGGCATTCCTCTTGCTCCTCCTTCTGCTGCTGCTGCTATCCCATTTTTCCTCATTTGGGCCCGGAGGAGAGGCTGGGAGTGGGAGGTAGGGAAAAGAGACGAGGAACAAAAACACGAGCCCCCTTGGACTTTTCCTTTCTCCCCTTCACACTTCTTCATTCCAGCTCTATTGCTTTCCCTTTCTCTCTCTCTCGTGATTTTGGGAAAAAAACGGCTTTGCTGTAGCGCTGATAGCACTACCACCAAGAAATGCTGCTAGTCGTTGCATTGTTCTAGGCGTCGTCGACGAGCCAGGTACAATTAGAGAAAGGATAGAGAGGAGGAAGAGGGAACACTCAACTGGGGCACCATTCATTCGATTGCAAGAAGGGCACACCAGGCAAGCCACTGCTATCAGTTTCCCTGCCTTCGACTTGGCCAAAACACACCAAACGTTTCTCCGCATGACGGGCAAACGTGTTGTCAGAGTGAATTTAAAAATTTCGTAAAGCGGCACGTCATTTCCAACACGGAGGAGTTTGCTAAATGTCAATGGCTGGGGTCACGGTGTCTAAACTCTCCAGATGAATGTGATAAATCATCTTCGCGGCACGACGATTAGCCCAAGGGTCAGACAGCAAGTTGAAGGGGGTTACCAGTTAGCTTCCGAAGCCGTTTTTCGTTAATCACACCGACTACGCCCTCCGTAAAATATTGCGGCAACTTCGTCTCAAATGGACCTTTCGACTTGATCCTAAAATTTCCTGGCTCAATGAGCTTGACAGCCATCATCTGATCCTATTGGTTACAAGTGGGTGTTGCATTACCTGATTGGTCGACGATCTTCGCGTTGGCCCACTTTGATTGGTCCTCCCAATCAGCAATAATTGTTTGCAAGCAAACTTAACAGTATAATTGGAGTGATACGATCTGGCGCATTTCAGGCCCATTTAAGCATGCTGGTTGGACGGAACGAACGAATTAATGCGTAGCAAAGGCAAATCGAAGTAGGGCCTTTCTTGGCGCCGTTCGTTAGTAAACAACTTTTTACTGCCACACTGGAGAAAGGTGTTGCCTTTACACATAGACGCACAAAAATCCCAGAACGAAATACACACACACATACGTTTGGCGTCTGCAGTTTGCCGTGTTTACCAAGAAGGAGGCTGGATTTGCAATGGCGTTGTCAGGTTCGAAATGCGTTTAAACAAACGAATATGAACTCTTCAAGGTAGCTCGCGTCCATGGAAACTTCCTGAACAAACTGGAAGCCAACGTTTTGGCCAGTGAAAGGGAGAATCCATTCCGTAATCGGTCTGAAAACGTTCTGTGAGCTACGAAAGAGATGCTTAACGTGGAAGTTAAAAAGAAGCACATTAGCACAGACTAGTTCAGATCGCTGATTAACAGCTCGGCAGTGTGGTGAAGGTCGGGCAAAGGAGACGAGTTCATCCAGGTACCAGCTAGGCAGAAAGAGGGGGTTGTTCCTTCGACCGCGCGCCAGCAGGGAGTGACGAATGGGACTGCAAATGGCATCGCGTGAACGCACTCGCAGTTGTTTTGGCATCGTTCGTTTTTTCCGCACAAAGTACAAGCCCCCTGTTTTAGCCTAGAGCTGCTAAACACTGTCCACCAAGCCGTGCTTCCACTTTTGACTGATGCAAACCTCTACGGAAAACACAAATACGCGCTTTCAGTCGGCTAGACTGGTGTTCGGAGCCTCCAAAATTGGCACGCAGTTAGTTTGACGTGGCGTGTCGACGAGGTGAAGCTGCTCCTTCCTGTTTGCAGGTTTCTTTCACCTTTTTTTCTCTAACTCGAAGGCACCTGGCACGCAGGCGTCGTCGTCGTCGTCATCGTCGGCGGCGGCGGTGGCGGCGTGATTCCAGTTGAAGCACGCAAGCACACCACAGGCACGAGATGATGGGTCTTAATTAGCACTTCACCTGGGGGTGGAGAGGCGGCGGTGGTGGTCACCTAGTTGGAAAGGGCGCGCAGTGCTGGTGCGCGTTCTGCCAATCATTCAGCTGACGTACGTAGTGAGAGCGAGAGCGAGAGAGAAGCAAAAAAAACGAACCTTATAAGGAAAACAATGCGAGCCAGGGGTGACGCAAATCACGACGCGGAGGTGGTTGTGTGTGTGTGCTCGCGTCTGTTTGATGGTGGCTATCTTCGGCGCGCTGAATCCTTCTCCTGCCTCATCAAGCGACTGGATCAGAACTACAAACACCTCGGAATGTCAAGCCTTCACCCTCCTCACTGATTCACGAACACGACCGAGGTCAGGCCAGGGCTTTCGACACATGACGAAATCGATAAACGTCAAGATTTCAAGATGCAAGTAACCAGCAAGCCGTAGCACGCCACCTTAAACAATTTTACCAACTTGCCAATCGAAATTGTTGGGCTTTGACGCTTCCAAATCACTATGCAACTCTTTCCCTCTAGAAATTCCTTGAAGAAAGCTGGAAGGTCATGTGCCATTATCCCTGGAAATTTGATAGATGACACTTCGGGCTTACTCGTGTACTAAGCGGCACGTGATTTTCTGTGTGCGGCTGTTCGTTTGGGGTTTGGTTGAAAAACGGATTAGCGTGAAAAAGCACACTTTTTTACGAAATGCGACTATTTTTGTCTTCATAAAGGCAAGAAATGTGCTGAAGCACACAAAGAGACACACACAGATATTTGAAGATCATTTAACATGTCTTGGACCCTCTACAAAGCCAGGTGCTTGCAATGGAACGCAAATAATCGCGAGTGGTAAAAAATCGATCGTCCACAGAACCACCAATCAGAGTAAGTCATCAGGATGCAGTCCTAATAAAGCAATACACGCCACATTCCAAACTGAATCGCCTTGAGAAAGAGCGCTTTGGCAGTGTGGTGTTATTTAAGAGGGAATTATGCGTTTTTAGTTGTATCTAACGAATCAAACTATCAATGAAGCAGGGTTTGGAAGCAGCCAATGAAAAACAGCCAGAATTGGTATTGGTTGATTGGAGGGTCTGGTTCTGACCTCGCTCCATAACGTAGCAAAAAGTTTTGAGCGGTAAATTCACCGTTCCTAATGATTGCCCAAATCGCCCACACATTGTAGGGAATCCGCACGCGAGTTCTATTTGACACGACGAAACCAAAACCACTGTCTTGCCAACCAATCACACAAACGAACACTATTACCACAACGCAACACAATTGCGTTGATGTCGACATTGGAGGATTTGAATAGCGCGCCAAACATAGGACCCTGTTTGTGGATGAAGTGCAACGAGCGGACCTCATCCACTCTACGTGACTGGATGCGTGTGGGTGACCTTTGCTTATATTCCCTTCAAAAAACCCTGGCCTCGTCTCTTACCTAGCCCTCCCCCCCACAAATCGCTTTTTTGTCGGCACCACCACGATCCGCGTGCACGCAAGCGAACACAGCCGAAGCCACTGGTTCACATGACCGCTGGCCAATGAGAGATGTCTGAGAGCTGAGACGAGTGACCAGGGCGGGAATTGAGAGCACCGAGACAGCAGAGTCGAAACAGACTAGCACGCGGCAGAGGTGCTGGGTATCACAGCCGGGAACATCAGGTTGCTGTGCGCGTGCAAGGTCAAGGAAAAAACGTTGCACAGCGACTTTTTTTGCGGGAGTGCATACGGTAGAGGGGGAGAGCAGGTTTGGGAGAGCTGATGTCAATGCCACGGTGATGCCGTGACACCTGAGCAGTTTCGGCCATGGAAGCACCGAAAACGTCGAGGCGGAGGTGTGGACATCATCCACATCCAGTGGACATACCTTCGGGTAACATCCAGCCCGGATTGAAGACGCCTGTACTAAGTCGAGCGTCTGACCGGTTAGCTGGGAATCCCACTGTGCAGTACACGTGTAGATTGAACCGATAAGCAGGGTGCGGGCTGGGACAGGCAGCAACGACAACCACGCCGAAAAAAACCGCCCCCTGTGTTACCGTGGCACTTGGTTTAGTGGTCCGTGGGCTGACGCACACGGGAGGCAAACCAGTTAGCCAATTCGGTACAAAACGGCAGTAAACATAAGCAGGTTCCCGGGTCTGCGCGAACGCTTTAGGCAGATATAGTAAACAAGCGCGACATGTATCTGATTAAAAAAAAGAGGGGGTGACATTGCAGCTCCGGCAGTTTCATTTACCAACGCGCCCAAACTCCACAACTCCCCAAACAAACACACACACAACCCTTTCGTACTTTTTCGACTTGGTGTGGAGGGTGTTTTGCGTGGACAGACACACGCACAAGTGCGCACCACGCGCGTGCGTTGATTGAGCACGGGAGCAAGGGCGTTCTCTCTCTGTGGCGGCTTCGACGACAACGTCGGGGAGGGGGCGGGCGGTGTGGCGGCGGCGGCGGCGGCGGCGACGACGCGGTTGTCGGCGCAAAGCGCGCACGCGCGCACATCTTGAAACGCGCACTCACTTGGGATCGATGCGCGCGCTCCACTCCTGATGAGCTTAGCCCGTCCTCTCTAGGGATACGCACAGACACGAGCCGCTTAAAGGCGAGGAGGGGTAGAGAAGAGCAAGACCGCGGCTACGGGCCTGTACTTAGCGTGACAAATGAGGAGCCAGTATCAATAATGTAGCCGAGTTGAGTCCCTCGAGGTTGTTGTATCTGCGTTGCTGGCTGCGCGAAGCAATCGATGATTTGGTTTGCTATTTGCTTGCGCATCGTTCTAGCGTGTGTGTGCGACGCCGCTGTCAGCGCCAACGCCTTTTTCCTCATCAGAGCCGCATCAATCAGCACAACGAGAGTGAGAGACTGTGTGTTGTCAGGTTCCTTCTGTTTTACAACCTTCACCTGCTGGGGCTTCAAGCGGGCGATCGATAGACCTCGAGTCCACCAATCAAATCGCCCACGAAGCTCACGACTACTGCATGATGGGAGGAGGTGAGGGGGTGCAAGACAGGAGTGGGGTTACTTGCCTGATCCGAGGTGGCCTGGCGGTAGACGGCGGAGAGGTCCGCCAGGTGACCGAGGCCAATGGCTGCCGCCGCAGCCGCCTGCAGACCAGCGGCGTAGGCGGAGGAGGGCGAGTTGTTGACGATGCCGTCGACGGACGCCGCCGCAGCCGCAGCCGACGAGCGTTTACCGTGTGGAGATGCGGCCGGAGCGCCATGGGGAACCTTGAACACTACAAGCAGAAAACACGCGAGGTGGTGAGAGCGTGCTCATGGGTGCAAGCGGCTTCGGCTTTCTCCCACGCACAGACAAACACACACACACACGCTGGGGAGGGGGGGGAGCGCCATCGGTCAAGATTTAAGACAAACTGTGCTCGAAAGCGGTTCACATGCGTGTCGCTCCTGCCAACCAACCAACCACCCACCCACCCACCTACCCACCATGTCATCCGAAAACCGCCACCCAAACGGTTTTGGCAAATCACGTAGGCACGCAGCAGATACCCAGTAAACCGCTACTGCCGACACTATGCTAGTCCACGAACCAGGCAATTAGGTGGTCCAGTTGTTGGATAACTAAAGATAAACACACGCATGTGCGTGTGTTTGAATGGATGTACGTTAACGCATCCACATGGTGCGAGCAACGGCCCAGGCCCTGAATCCGCTGAGCGAGAAGATGAGGAAGCAGATGCGCGGAAACTGATCCACCAAAGAAGGCGGCGACCTTGAACTTGTCACGCCAAAACAAAGCAAATTCTTGTCGTCCCAAACGCTCCTCATACAATCCCTGTTTTCATTATATCGAAAAAAAAACATTTTTTGGAGTAGTAGCATTTGGGACAGCCTGTTCCTCCCCTTTCCGTGCAAGACTAAAATCACCTTCCCCAATGATTCTTGTAAATCCCGATACCGTGTAATGGTAGTGGTGAGAAGTTGTGTGTGGCTGGAACAGAAGCCTTTGCATCCCAAAAAGAATGTCTCTTATTTCCAGGAAAACAGAGAAGATTGAGAGGGGGGCGGAGCAGACAGGTCGGTAGTACGAACTGGAAGCGGGTACTGACCTGGGCCGTTTCACGAACCAATAGTGTTTCGTGCTGATCAGGGGACCTACAAACCTTACTTAGCGTGCGATCTACACGCTGCTCTTCAGTTGTCAATTTGCAGTTGGGCTTCAATTCCAGGTAGAATATCGGCAGAGACAAATTATCGGCGACTGACAATTGAGGAACGCGTACTCATTGTTAAGGCAGTCCGTCGATTTCAGGAATGGCTCTATCGGACGCTTTACATCAATGGATTCAGTTCACGAGGTGGAATTTATGCTTCAGGTTTGATCAGACGGCCAGGATTTGGTGCACTTACTTTAATTGTGTGCTATGCGGCGTGAATTTCGTGCGTATTTGATCTAATAATGTGCCGATATCACATGGACCAATCATCGTTTCGCAACCTGGCCACTTCTGACTCATCGGCATTTCCAAAAAACTGACAAGCCATCGGAGTACGCGCGGACCACTCAACTCGTGAATAAAATTCACTGTTAGAAAGGATTTAAGCAGAGCCCGAAACCTCTGAATCAGGCTCGGCATTTCACCTACACGTCATCGATGCAACCAACCTTCTGCCAACACGCATTGCCTCTTCGAAAGAATCATGAAGATTTCTAGGGAAAACACATGGTTGGTTGTGCCAGTTCTGCCATTTTTTATCCAAGATGTTACCGAGCATTCACCCCACAAACCCAAACACGTTATTTCGAGTTTGCGTTCTTTTCTCAAAACCCAAACTACACACCCGAAGGAAGTCAGCGTTGAGGTGCTTCGTGAGAAGAACACGGTTCCGTGTGGTGGACAGGAGGGACACGAAATTTTCGCATAGAGCTGTCACAAACATGGAAGCACGCTGGTGATTCAACCGAGGAAGATGAAAAAAAAAGAAGAACACTGCAGAGACGTGTGTGCAGGATCACGTGAACCTGCAAACGAACCCGTCCTACAGGCGCGCGGCACCGAGCTACTGGAAAGTTTCTCTGTCAGTGCATTTGGCCGGTGGGAGTAACGCGCGGGCCGAGGCAGTCGCTGAGTCAAAGCTGACATGCCTTGCGTTGCAATTTCGACAGTGGCGAGGGCGGGGGGGGGAAGATGTCGGTGGGAGAGAGAGCGCGCGCGCGCGAGCGAGAGACGCAAAGGGACCGGAGTAAATACCATCAAGAGGGAAAACAGCTGTCACTTTGGGAACCGAAAAAGGGGAATATGCGCGCCCACTGTCTGACGTGCCGGATTAAGTGTGAAAAATGCCGCGTGTTAGCGAGAGGCTAGTACACTACACACACACACACCCGGACATGGCCGGAATACGGCTCGGTTTGAAAGTGGGTCCGTGGAGCGGCGACATTAAGATGGCCTCCTACAGGGGTCGCGAACGAACAGTTTCGAGGGGGCTGTGTGAGTTGCCGTTGCCCCTGGACACGCATTTGACTCGTTGGAAAAGACTGCACGTACAACACGGCAGTGCCAACACAGGTGCTGCATCCAAGGCCAGCGGATACACCGACAGGCGGATCGGCGATGTTGTTTTTTAAAGAACGCGGGCCAATCAATTGTTAGCGGTCGGAAGCAGGCGCGACGTTCGCGGGCGTTCCTCTGCGGCGCGACACGCGTAACGCGCTGGTTGGACGACGCACTCGGCTGCACGTACGCACGCACGCACGCGTGCCTTAAACATGACTCATTGTCGAGGCAACGCGTGCATCTACGGCATTCAAGCGACAATCGCTACAACCTGCAAGTACATTTCTACGAGTTCGTCATAGGCTATCTACGAAAACCACAACAGGGGGTGGCAGCAACGGCTGACTTAAATTCACACGTTAACCAGCCCACTAATTTGTCGACTACGTGGGGTGTTTTCGACGGGATAAAAGGCAAAGAAAGCGAGCTTCTACGATAAACAACTTCACGCTCAAACGATTTGCCACGTGGGAAGCAGGGGAAAGAGAAGGAGGGCACCGCCACGAAGCAATTCTTAATGCTCAGAGCCACATCACCTCAGTTTGAGGTACTTTAAAAAGAAAGCATCAAATACAGAACAGAGTGGGCGTGAAGCAGGCTCAGAAGACGGGCAAGTCCAAGATCCACGGATCTCAAGGAATTCTGATGGAAGAACTGCGGAATAGCTTTGAGAGCCAGTACTCGTTGTGAAGCGCCAGAACCGGCGCGATCAACCAAGCAATTACACCATGGGCTAGACGAACAATTGAGACAGTTTTTGGGTTAGGTTACAAAAGGGACTTGGTGTGTGTGTGTGACGCCGAAGGACACACGTTAATAACAAATCGTGATGCACAATCCGCAACACTTGGACGAGTGCGTCTACGTGTGTGGCGTTGGACACACGCATATACGCATTATAAACAAAGAGGCAATCACTACACAAATGACACCATCTTGACTGGGCGGAGGACGCGGAGTTGAGGCAACAGCGCGACTGAACAGGCACTGGCGCGGTTTTGACTCCGAGGTACAAGGAGTGGACAGGTGGGTGGGCCAATCCACCATCAGCGAACAACAGATGAGACGTGTAGGCAGCAGCGTACGTGCGCGTACAAGTGGATACCGACTGACTCCGTGACTCACACACACACACACACGCACATCCACAAACAGAAAGCACAGACACGTACAGACGGGGTGTGTGTGTGTGTGACTAACTTCAGGGCCAGTAGGATAGACGCAGGCGTTGACGACGCGGTTGTAGATGGACTCGCCGGAGTGCACATCTCTGCCGGATTATCCGCTGTCTTCGGAATACTTGGCCAGAGGGGAGTGGTAGTTTGGTGACACGAGCGAGGTCAAACAGTGACCCTCTGTGAGGGTCGAGGTTAATTGTTTTCGTTGTTTAAGTGTATTCGCAGCAATTGGTGACCTTGAGAGCACTGAGCAGAGCGAAAACGTGACATCAAATAGGATGAAAGGTTATTCTCAGCAGATAGATGACGGAAGGAGATACCAGTGCAGGAAAGAGGGCTTACGATGAAAAAAATAAGCGTTCGTTGGAGGTCGCCGAATCCCTGCGCTGATTTATGACGCGGAGTCAGCGCGACCAACAGAGTAAAGCCAGCTGTTCGCTGATTTTGATGCTAGATTGGCGATGCAACTGGGCCCAAATTGATGTCAATTCCTCGAAATTCACTTCCACAAGAACTGCCACGGAACCGACAGGGAAGCACACAACAGCCAACAACGAGGCGAATTTGAGCAGTAAACAAATCGAATTATGGGAAAAGTCGATTTCACCATGGCCCAATGAACACCGAGGATGGCGAATGGCGTCGAAAAAGGGGGTAATTTGACCTGTGAATCTGCCGAACAGCATTACACATGTATCATTCAAAGGGAAGTAAACAATTTGTGCGTGGAAGAGTGGCGCCATGTGTTGGGGTACCCGCAATACTAACGGCAAGAACGGCAAGTGTTGCCGTACAAGCAAAAATAACGGTTGCCATGGTAACCCGCTAGCCAATAAGGAGACTGCATTTACAAAACAGATAATTCAGGCGCAATGGCGAGCTCGCCATGGCTGGATTGCGGTATTTCTCAAAGCACGTAGTCACATTTGAATTGCGTTTACTTAACGGTACTGTCGATGCTAATTTTGTACACGAATTTAATCACAACACAGCTCAGACTGAGGCATAAGAGGTGAGCGAGCTTGGCTACGCCTAATCGGTGTTTGGACCTGCGTTTCACGATAAAGGTACTGCTTTGTTGCTAGGACTGTCGATTCAAAAGCACTCGAAGACTGGCGTCTAGACACATAGCACACAGCGACAACTCAAGGTCACCTCGGGTCAGTGGACCAATCAGGAGCGAGAAACACATAAACTGTGCTAGTAGGGCACGTGCCCAACTAATGGCTCGGAGTTACCGGAATGCGGTTGGAGATGGGTGCCGCATAAACTGCTCCCATCAATACTGATGGTTTTTTATAACATGACGGTTATGTGCACGCTTTAACTCCCAAAGATAAACGGCGAGACGAGCGACACAGCTGTGTCTGACCGTCGATTATGCAGGCACACAGCTAACATCCCAAAAAACGACATCCCATGTGGTACAAGAGGGTGTCGGCTCTGTCAGGTAGCATGACACAGTCCGTGGACACGAGGAAAGGTCACATCAAACGTAAATATTCCAACCACAATATCCTCTCAGAATTTGAGAGATCCGATCTGGGTTCAGAGGTGGCTATGGCACCAGAACTGGACCACGCTTGTAGCCTGGGGAACAAACACGATCACCGCCGAACGCTACTTGGCCGATTTGGAGTTATTTAAACAAATGGTCTGAATGATTATCTCAGACTGACATTCAGACCGCTAACTCGTCATTATTTCTCACATGCAGTGCGGGCAAATGTCAAACCGGAGGTACTTCTTCGAGATGTCTGATTAATCGTTGCCGACTGATTTACGCTCAGAGGGGGGGAGGGTGCTGCGGCCCCTGGCGTCCCAGCATCCATAAACAACGCGAAAACAAATGCACACATATGGCAACACATAGCGCGATTCGGGATGATAATGAATCACTTGGTTGAGGGGGTTTCGCGTGTGACCTTCAAGCCAGGAGGTCCGCCGATCGAACGGAATGCTTGGAAGGCGTGATTCAACCTTCTGGAAGGAAAAGGATGGAAGATGGGAGGAGAAGATGAGGAGGAGGAGGAGGCACGGTGTCAAAACGCGTGCACACGCTCGCGCACACACACACACATTTGTCCTGAACTCGGCAGATGTGGCAAGTGTGCACGGCGCTACAAACGAGCTCGCGTGGGAATTTTCTTCCCCAGCAAGGAAGGGAGAGCAGATAAATGGGGAACGCGTTGGGGCGCAATGGGTACACTAGTAACAATAACCGTGCAACGACCCAAATTCACGGACAACCAAGGTAGCGGGTTACTCTTGTGCTGGCCCGATTAACCGCCCTAAATTGTGGAAATTAAACTCCCAAATTTTGTCGCTTTTTGGATACCGTGAAAAAATAAGCATATCAGACATGCCTGTCTTTGGGATTTGAAAACAATTCTAGGCGCAAATACAAAGACTCGAATCGCCTAGTAAACTAACTTCACGATCTTCACAATGGACCAATCAAAATGACGCAGATTGGGATAAATGCACGACGTGTTAGGGTTCAAGGTCACGATCCCGATTGGTCTGGTAGACAACATGAGTGTTTAAGAGGGCACGATTTTCAGGCAAGAACTCCGTTGGAGCCCACCAGGGGCTCCACGAATAAGGGTTACATTAACAACCTGTGATTCTGATCGATGCATGATGCGAGAAGGGATGGTGGTAGGTGACTGGTAGGTCTCAATTAGGCTGCCTTGATGTGGGAATGGTAAGAGGAGGAGGGGAAGGAAGAAGAGGACGAAGTATGTGAGGTTTTTGTCAGAGCGGAACAGCGCGCGCGTTGGCCAGAGAAAGGACGGGGAGAGGGGGAGAGGGATGAGAGTTGGTAAAAAACGAATGCCGCCGATAGCAACTCAAAGCCTGCGCGCACGTGCGCACAGGCGTGCGCGCGGCATTCTGAGGCTTCCATCATCGACATAATCGACGCACCAGTGCGCGCTTCTTGCCCAAGCGGATCGCAGTGCGCCCGTTGGCTGTCCGTGTGTGTGTAAGTACGGCAGAAAGGGTGAAGACAGCGGAACAACAATGATGACTAACCACCTCGATCACGTATACAGGTGGTGCCGCTTGTGTTTTGACCAAAAGAACACACACACACACCCAGCCAGGGTGTGATTGACAGTTTGGGTGGTAAGTACGGACACCGGAGTCACATACACACACACACACACACACGAACTCTGGCCTTGGACCAAGTAATTTTGGCGGGAAAAACAAGACATGGCGAGCGAGACTAAACAAAACGACAAAGTCGTGCAGGGGACAGACTTCCTGCCTTTAACAATCACCACTGAAGTGCATATGTGAGTGGAAGATGCATTTTTTTTTCTCGACACATGTTAACCGTCGCGAGACAGGAGCCTAACATGTCTGCGCGCAGTAGGGACCGAAGCACAACGGTGCAACCTTCATTCAGACAGCGAGATCCGCCGAAAAGTGGAACAACACCACAGGAAATGAGGGATTGGACTAGGGCTGGGGGATAGTACGTGGTTGTCAGTGCTCCGCTATCGGAGCGATACAGCCAACCCCCACCACCCCACCCAGCCAACTCGGTCCATAATTAATCAAGCCCCTGTCAATTAGGCCGAGGGGGGGACGTATGTGGGTGGGAATTGCTCAGGTGGGGTAGGGTGGAGCGCGTAGGTGCGTTATTGACAGAATGTGGGCGAGCAAGGGGGCGGTAGGGTTGCAAGCGAGGACAAAATTGATGGCCTGGCGGCCGATGCACTAGTGGCGGCCATTGTGTGGCCGCGGCATACACCAACCACCGCGTACACACACACACACACGCACAAACACATTGTGCACGATTTATTTTATAGCTGACGTGAAAAACGACCCACGGGACGCTCATTAATCTTTACATTCTGCGGGGGGGGGCACTCATCAGCCAAGTACACCCGTTCGACGATGGCAGCAGAGACTAAAGTTCGGTAGAAGCGAAGGAAGACGCGGACGCTCCACCTCGTTCTGGTGACTGGTTGGTGTGGGAGCCACGGTTACAGGATAGAGGGCTTGTTGGTAGGTGCGGATGCGAAGGGAAACAAACAAGCTTAGGAGGTTAACACAGCCTCTTTTTTACGGAATCAGCTCTCAATGATCGGCCAATGATAATTATGGAGAGTGGACGAGAAGGAAGTGATCTAAGGGGGCACTAGTAAAAATACAGATGGCTTCCACAGTGGCATCAGTTTCACACTAAAATGACGAAACAGCAGTACTGCGTGTGTGTGCTTGCTTCCAACATGCTAATTGCGCTCTCATAAGCGCAAACAGCTGACGGCAATGATCACAAATGCATACGCTGCTACCACCACCACCTCCTCCTCCTTCACTCTTTAGCCTCCAGCACCACTGAATTCCAGCTCTCGAGTGAAATATTACGCTTGTTCAAACTGGGGATATTTTGCAGAGAGAGAGAGGCCAAACGGAAGTCCGCTAGCGGGTGCCTCTGGGTTGTCAACGGCAAACGGATATGGGCGTCAGATGAGGGGAATCGCACCACAAGAGGCGAGAGAAAGGGAACTATCAGGACACTGTCAGCATTGGGAAAACCCAACCAGAATTTAGTTGAGTGAAAAGCCGACACACGGTGCCCACTCCAGACGCCCTGATTTTAGACCCGCGGCGACGGTGGCATAGGAAGGGTTTCACACGCAATTTGCTTGAAAAAGAGATGCCTATCTACTTGAGACACTGCCCTTAGTTTTGTTGGGGCGGACGAAGTTATTGAGATGGAAATTTGGCGATAGGCGAAACGCGATCGAGGGAGAAATAGCTGACGGTGGTACGCATTGATGTAGACAGACGATATGGAGACGCAATTGTGCCTGGTTTGTACAAACTGTTTACGCCACCAACTCAGGTGGCGTTTTTCTCAATCGACAATGGCACTAAATTGTAGCTTTGGCGAAGACTTAAGCATGCAGCGACAGCATGAGGCGATGTTGTGGTATAAAAGCTACAGCACAGATCAAAACCGCTGCAGTTTCCGTGTCAACTCGGCCCGCCAATTTGTCGGCCGGTAAGATCAGTGGGACGTGAGTGCAGCGATGGTGTGTGTGCGTGCGCGCGCGCACGCGCGCTCACGGACACACCGCTTCAAAAATTCCGCGAACGCACACACGCACGGCGAGAGCACGTGCGCACGCGTGCGGACGTGTGCTCCCACGGAGAGACGCATCGGAAAAAACTCAAGCCAGCGCAAACGCGCCCAAGCGCACCCCTGCCCCGCTAACACGCAAAGCCCCGGGTAGATGGGGGGGGGTGGGGAACACGCGAGGGCAAGGAGGAAAAAAGCAAAGGGAAAGAGAACGAGAGATAGATAGATGGGACACTACTCACTCGACATGAGAATTAGTTGCGCAGGCCAAAAACACATTGGCCTGAGCGCAGGCAACTTACGTGATGCTCCGTGTTCAATAAAGTTGAAGTCGAAGGGAGTCTGAAATAAGCAAGAAAAGCAGGTTACCGATCAGATGGGCTTTCATGTCTACCCCCAACCAAACCCCCTTCAAATCTGTGGGGATTTAACTCAGCTAGCTGGATGAACCACGATCACACAGGCGTTACGCCCATTTGCTTTTAAGTAGTGAGGAGGAATGCAGGAAGTCGAAATATTGGAAGGTTGTGAGCACGTCAGGCGGTTGTGGTTCTGTCTACCAGATAACCAAGTCCAATGAACGAAAACACGGAAATGAACTCTGGTTGGTCGGAAAAAGCCAGTCTCACAATACCGTTCTTTTTATTAAAAAAAAAGTAGAAATAGGGATATATTTGATGGCAGCAATTGCGTTAAACAGAACAGTACGTTGTTTCGATAAAAAGAAGTATGAGTTATCGCGCACTATTTCAAAATCTAGTGCCTACTTGAAGTAACAAACAGTTAAAACACTAAAAATGCTTTCTTGAGAAGGTGAAAATGCAGGAGGTCAATGGTGATTCGACACGAAAATTGGTCAAACAGCATTTTTTTACTTAATTTCGTTATAACACCATTTGTGAGGGTTGAAGCGATTCCCCCTCAATGAGACCAATCAAAGCCCCTGTCAAATGTCCTAAATGTAGCTCGGGTCGAGTGCTACTCCGACTTCAAGGGTCTCCACGACTGTTCCTCGAGCTACCGTTCATCGGGTTTGTTTACAGAAAGAGAGGCTGTCACGCCAATGCAGAGCAACCTTCCACGAATTTCGTCGAAGGAGGTTCGCAGGGAGGTTCAACAACTAATCCTGACTTTGGGACTTCCAAAATGACGCCCATTCGCTTCGACGACACGAACAAAGCTCACCAAGACGATGGTTATTACGATTAGGTAGAGGAATGTAGTCGAATTTGCAGCAAATTGACAGATGAGAGGCAAGTTAATCAGAGCAAACATTCTTCTGAGCAGTGAACGCGTGGCGTTCTGGTGAAGCTGCCACAAGCCTCAACGAACACCTACGCACTGCACTTGCTTGTGGATCTACCTAGTGGACTGTGCTGAGAAGGTAAGGAGGGCCAAATATCATGGACGCATCAAGTCTGCCTGGATCTATTTGAAGTTCAAGTTAGGATTTCAGCTTGGAGGCCAAAAATGAGGTTGGGAAATGCAACAGACCGCCGCAAAGGTACGGCCTGGACACAGTACTACTGGAAGTGCGAAGACAAGGACAGAAAAGGACGCCAAGTGCTACCGAGACCAGACATCAGACCGAGTCTGGCGCGTCAGCTGTTGTCTCGGGGCGCAACCACACACGCACTCGCACAAATACAGAGGGACGGACAGGCGATTACAGAGTGCAGCGGTCGATGCACGCAGTCACTTCTGATCCGACGAGCAGGGGACAATTTGAACGTGCTCACTTCGACAACGTCCACTTTGCGGACTTTAGTCTGGGCTTATTTTTTTGAGTACATGCGTCGCTACGTGCACACTTGACGTGGTTTTTGGCATGCATTGTCGGAAGACAAACCCAGGGAACAGCCAAAGAAGGAATTCTTAAGCCATCTGTCTCAACAAAATCAGCATTATCACAGAGTCGGAGAGAAGGAATTAGGGGAACCACAACGGAACATCCAGTGGGTATTTGATAATGATTTTCTGTCAACCTGCCGCATCGTTGAGGCTGGAAAGGCCATAATCAAAGGAAGTAGGGGGTTTTGCGAGTGGAAGCGCATTTGACGCCCCAGCAACGGCATTAATCCGTTGACATACGTCAACACATATCCAATGAATTAGGAAAAATGGGAAATTCTGGAACTGAAAGATCTGCGAAAAGGGGTGCTCAACGGCGCTTGTACTTCCCTACAGAACTCTGCCACAAATACGTGCACGCTGAGGTCTATAAAAGATCGCTCCCATCGACATGCAGTACATTACATGTGAGGCTGGTATTGTACACCTTTCCATTAAGTTCGGATAATTAAGATCAAACCATGTTTTTTTCCAAAAAAAGACAGATGGCAACAACAAAGCAGAAAAATTAAAGCTCAAAAAAGGCGGAGATCGAGGCAGCTGTTAAGGCGTGGCAGGAGATTTCCACACGAAATCTCATCTCACATTAGTGATTGCACAACAACAGCCCACGAGGTTTCGTGGAAACCGGAGAAGCGTCTAGACGATTTTGTAGACGTTAAAACAAAGCTAGCCTTCAAACCGGTCGATATTTCTTGGTGGTGAATGACTCGAGATACCAAGATTAAGGAAGAGGAGCTAGTTTTATTCGCACAATTTCGTGGTGACATGTTGAAAATCGACATGCAAAGAGGTAGAACACCCATTTGGCTAAGTAAATTGCCACGCAAACCAGACCAAGCTTGGAAGTGGATGGACAGATCTGTTAGAAAGCCACTTGAGTTTCAAGTCCTGAAGCACAGTGATCAGATGGCTGGTGAAAAGACTTAGGGTCCAATTTTACGCCGGGGATTGGGCAATTCGAAAAAAAGCGGTTTCAAACAGAAAAAGGTTGAAAAGACTGAACATTAGTCATTCAGAAGCAAAGAACTAAAGTAAATGAACTTAGAAGAGTAGAAAATACTTGTTACGTGAAATTTATCAACAAATCGTGTTTGTAGAAGCAGATATTGGGAAGATGCATTGACAATTTTTGGTGTTGTAATAAGCACATCGTAGATTACATTTTTTAATGCAAAACAAAGATTGAACATCAATTTGCAGATAAGCACTAAAGGTGACCTTTACAATCCATTCATGGGTAAGAAGCCGTGTTAGTTCGGTTTGAATGCGATTTGTGGATGGTTTGGAAATCTTTTTATTGAAACTATGCACAATTATTACAATTTGATCAAGTCACCTTTCAATTAGGTATTAATAAGCGGAAGGATTCAGTGAGAGCACTAGGGCAGTTTGATCACTTCAAAACATATATGTGATTGTTGCAAGAATCCTACTACAAAAGGGTTAAAAAAGATAATCGGTCAAAAATGCCATTTTCCCCAGAAAAAAAATCATCATGGCTTCATTTCATTTTTAAGAACATGCAGGGGGCAATTGTGAAAAATACAAATATAACAAAAAAAGCCTCAAAAATTTGTCGTAAAGGTAAGCACAATATTAATAAATGCACGATATGAAGGTATATTATGCATGTTTCTGCGAACACATTTTAGACAAGAAAAATAAACCTTTATTAAAAAAACATATCAAGAACAGTTGTAGTTTTATAAATACAAATAATAGCGGTTAAGATATGAAGCGTCTAAGGATTTCGCTATGCTTAATTTATTTAAAGAAATAATATAGCCTACTGTTTGACCTACAGTTTGAAACCAAACTATGACTTGACTGTCTTTGATAAAACCAAAAAAGAAACACGACTGATAAAATAATTGTTGTCTAAAGATTAAGCGACGACCGAAAGTCAACTTGTAACAGAATGTGTCAGCTAAAACACTTCACTTACATCAAAACACGCATAAAGTAGCAAAAATAAAAAATGACAATGAGCAACATGGAAAAAGTGTAGATCAGTGATGGATAAACAATTACGTTGATATGCCGAAAAATCGGTTTCGAAAAAAACTTGATCAATGTCTGAGCAACAATCTTACATGGCCAAAAATCACTTTTTAACTGACACACAATGAGAACTTCTAGTTTCTTTTGCAAAAACACAAATGTAGGTACTACACTAGCGAACCACATGTAATTGAGTTAAAAAAATACGGCAACCTCAAAAGCAAAAATTTTTGTTTACAAATCTGACAAATTTTGTTATATGTAGGAAAACTAACAAGCGAAAAGACAAGAAAAATCAATAAATATTTTGAAATACGTACATGGCCTT